TTGTAAAAACATATACTCCTCCGGTCCTTAATATAAGACCCAATTGTTGAGTTGGTTTTGGTCCTAAATATAAGATCTATTTATCATATTTATCAATTTTCTCTAAATTATCCCTATGGATACTTGTTCAACCATAATCAAGTAGAAGAGGGAGAGAATGTATTAAGAATGATAATTATGTTGTTTTAGGAAAAAAATGTCACATTTCTTATAATTAACTAACTTACCTAACTTTCTTAATCTAATCAAATTAGTTAAATAGGTCTTATACTAAGGACCGGAGGAGTATGTTAGTTTTTCAAAAATATTTCATCTAACCAATCATTTGCAATACAAATTATCATAATTGACGAAAATTCTTTTTACATGCACAGCCAAATAAGGATAATTAATCTAGAGAAGAATTATAAATTTAAAAAATAAAATAAATTGATACCTTATATTTGGAATTCAAGGTATATTTAAAGTGATGAATGTATTTGATGAACATTTACTGTTTTGTAAGAATGATTATTTTAATGACCATAAGTCTAAATATCCCATGTAAGTGTTAATCTGGAACTGTTTAACATTTGTAAACAGTATTGCTTGCAAGAGTTTTTATAGTGTATATATAAGTAATTTTTTTTATGAGGGAACCATGGTGCTATTCAAGGTTTTCTTCTTTGCGGTAAGGGTGGAGTATGGCAACGAACAGACTTCTTCAGGGCCGAACATAAGGCCCAGTTAATTACCACAGTTACCAGATACTATCTCGGCACCTTAATATAATTTCAGCCCCAGTTAACTAATTTCAAGAAATTAAAAAAATTAAATAAATTACTTTAAAGTGTTATATTTATAATCAGCCTTTTGGCAGAGTGTTTGGGGGTACAAGTAGTTTATAGGTGTGATAAGTCAGTTTGCAAATTTGAGAGCTATTTGTCACAGTTTTTGGCTAATCTGACTTATAAGTCAAAAACTACTTTTTCACACACAATTACAAAAGCATCTAAAACTTACTTATAGCTTATGAAAAAGTAGCTTTTTGGAAGTAAATGACATTTTTGTCCTTATGTTGTTCTTAGGCTTCTCTCTATATATTTTTTGTGCTTCCCAATCAATTTTTAGTTATTTATTTTTAATATTTTTTAAGTGCAAATAATTTTTAATAGTTTTAATAATGTTTTTAATTTTTAATATTATTTTTTATTTTATATTTACATAAATTATGCAGAGTATATCATCCAATTAATTATGTAATATTATTTGGTTTAAAAATTTTCACATTACTATAATTTCTAACTTAAATATATTTTATTCATTAAATATAACTTTTTCCTATTATAATAATATAAAATTATTATATTTTGTAAATTCATACTTTAATCATTTTTTATTATTTAATAAAAGTCATATCAATTGGGTTATTCTACAAAATAAACTTACTTATTCAATTATAATCCAAATAATTTTTTTACTTTATAAATTAACTTTTACAAAAGTCAATCTAAACATAAATCACATTACACAATTTAACTTTGACCTAATCTGACTTTTTTTTAAAAGTCAGATTGAAAATAAATTACTTTTTTTAACACTAATCCAAACGGACCCAATGTTTTTCCAAACTAATTTGTTCAGTTATAAACTGATATATATAGTCTAATAGTATATACAAGTATTTTTAAAGAGATCATATAACATATATTATAATTAAATACTAATGTTTTAGCTTCCTTAGTACATATAAGTATTTTTACAGAGATCATGTAACATATATTACAATTAAATACTAATTTTTAAGCTTTCTTAATTTTTTCAAATTAATTAACTGGGTTTTATATTAAGGAATCAAGTTGGCTTGTGAAAGTTATGGCAAAGTCTTGTTCATGTTCTGCTTTCAAGTCTCTGCTTTGTTTTCATTCACAAACATGAATATGCGAATCAGAATCAGTTTACTTATAGTATTCAACAATTTTGTGAACTGCTTCAACTTTTCCACTTAACACTTCAACGGGTTTAATCATTTCGTCAATTCCAATTACATGTTAACAATTATATATATGTTCCAGTTTTCCAGATCACATACCAAATTTCCTGATGTGTTATATGCTTCAATCCAATTGCCTGCATGACTGGACTTCTGCTTCAAGAAAAATCCAATGAAGTGGTTTGACAAGAAATGTCCACATTGTAACAAGCCAATCAGAAATTAAAGCCTAATTTTAAAAATAACGGGATTTTAACATATCGAATAGAATTAAATATACCAGAAAGTATGAACTTTTGACTCAAGAAGAGAAAAGATATTTTGTTCAGAATATATCTAATTTAACGTAGTTATTTATGAGTTGTCTTGCTCTACAACAGTATTTTTCTGCTCATCTTTTTTCTTGTGGCCAACTCTGATTTCAATTCCCTCTTCTGAAGTAACTTCCTGTGTTCTGACTCCAACTCCATTTGTTGAAGAATTTGTTAACTTTCTGAGGCACACATTGGTGAGACTCCATATGATACAATCAAGCCATCACGTTTTGATATTTCAAGTTTATCATCCTCATCATAAGTAACAACAGAGAATTTGAATGGAAGCTTTGTGTTACAATTGTTTCTGGATGTTTTTATGAATCTGCATGGACTACGCCATAGAAAAACATGATGCGAACTAAGTTCAATTCTGGTCATATCAAAATTCAGGCTGTGGACCTGCTTATCATCTTCTTCCCAACAAATTCGGCAATTCAAGCGACTGGAAAGGCTTTTCTTTAGCTTGAATTGTGAAAGAACAGAGCAAGCAAAACAGAATGGAAGGGCAGAAGAAGATGATGATGATGAAGCAGACGCACCCATTGTTGGTTTGACTGATTCACAATATTATGGGATTTAATCAGTCATTTGACTTACATTTCCCATGTTTGGGTTTCAAGCTTATCCAGTATGTTTGTCAGAATCTTAGTGGGTCAAGTTAATGTCTTAATGGGTCCAATATTTTCGTTCAGTTTTTCAGTATTTTTTGAAGGAGTGGTTCTACGAGATTTTAAGTCTCATGAACAATATCTTCATGTCCCTTAGACTGAGTACACAACTCCATTTTGAATTTCTTGCCCACAAGCAGTGCTTCTTTCCCATCACAGCTTCCAGGTCCAGCCCCAAATTTACTGATTTCCATCTCCAACTCACCAATATGTCGATGCCTCTTTGACCACCTGCCCAATTCAGACTCCATTTTCCTTTGTTGAACAAAATTCTGATATTCACAGGCATATAGGGGGCAGATCCCACACTCTTGGTGTTATGCAATCCTTAAACTGCTTTTTTTTTTTTTTTTCCAATTCACATTTGGGCAAGCTATATTTCATTGTGCACAAGTCTTCTCTGACTTGTGATGTGTTGAAAGTCTTGGATGTTGATAACTGGATATATTTGATCTTCAATATAACGGTGAGACTCTGATATTGCAGACATTAATTAACTCAAGCATGGGCCACAGCTAAAGAACTTCTGACAAGAACTGCATTTCGTCTTGAGTTTGGTAAATCAAGATCCAGTGAGAATTGTCCTGAGCCTGAAAAGGTGAGATTGAAGAACCTTTTTCTTTTGGGCGTCTCTTTGGCAATTATTTTCTATAAATTATTTAGTGTGAATAATGTTGTGAATGACTAAATGATCAAGTCATTATTCAACATCTGATCAAGATTCTATAATACTAACCCTTATGACAAGGTGGGATTTAAAATTTACATCACACACACCACGTGCATGTCATAAAATACCTCCGAATAGAATATGTATCTGAGGTCAGGCTACAATCTGTATGTTATTTAACCATTTAATAAGGATGACCGACTTATTAAATTAGTTAATTCCGGTCTCTGCCTATTTTCCGCATTGTTTTAATAATTGGACATCCCAATCAGTGTCTCTTAACATGATCTGCAATTTAACCTGATAAAAAATTGAAGATCATTTTCAAATTACAAAGTCACGCGCTCACATGCTGGTTTCAGTACATAACTTCCTAAAAGCAGAGAGAAAAAGAAAGCCAGCATAACAAAGTGAAGAAAGCAATTAGTTTGAAGGAAAACAGAAGAAATTCCAACTCACAAGACTACACCATATTAATTTCAAACATCACTTTTCTTTTATCTCCAAGAATAGTATGAATACATTTTCCCATTAAGGAGCAGCATCAGTCGAATCTTAATGTTAGCTTTTCTTGGCCGAGAATGATGACTAGATACATGTATTTTGTCAAACTGCAAATATGAGAGAATGTAATAATATGAGTGAATATATTTTTTGGGCACAACATTAGTTAATAGATATTAATAATTGAATATAGGGTTTGCATCAGAAAGAAGATATGTAACTAAAAATCAATCTCAAGAATTTAATTTTCTTGGTTACCCTCAAATCTCTTCTTGCTGCCTATAATCAGCATTGGCTGTGATAGAAATCAGCACATGGCCCATCATTTGATCCGTACATGGTTATGAAATCCAGAGGAGATGAAAGCTCTACTGCTTCATCACAATTTACACCTACAAATACAAGTGGCCGAATCATGAAGATTCTTTCCATAGCCTCCGCTGACAGTTGCAGAAGTTGAGCTCTTTTGTAAATAGACAGAAATCTAGCAAAATAAGACTTATGAAAAATAGTTTGGTTTTTAAACACAAAATTACAGGAAGATAAATCATTTTCATCTTAAATATAATCATCTTAAGATTTGGTTGGTTATTTCCTTTCACTCATGCTTTTCATCACAAAACATATAAGTGAAGTCGTCTGAGACGATACATATTCATTGTCAGAAGCCAAGAAATTGAAATTCTAATTTTGTAAATAAATGGATTCAAACATAACAATAGAATTAAATATATTACAAAGTAATACATTTCATTTAAAAGCATAATCTATGTTTGCCATGGTGGGAGCTATGGTGTACAAAAGTCAAGCTTAATAGATGAAATGTAAAATAGAGATACATACCGATCAAGTAATGGATTGTAGGTGATTTACTTATGATGAATGTGTTGCTTTGTGGATTCCAAATTCAATTGGGACAGCATAAGTAGCAGCTCATTATAAGCATCATGAGATGTCTTGGACTCAGAATTCAGGAGACTAGATTGAATGATCTGAGAGTCCTTCAATTTCTTTGTTGAAGCGAGTTGATGTTGGTCATCATCAATGCTCCGATGCCTCTTTTTTGGCATGCTTACCTCCAATTTTTTTTGTTGAAGGAAGTTTGTGTACTCTGAGATATATATTGGGCGAACTCCACATTCTTTAATCAAGCAATGATGAATATAAACTCCCCCGTTACAGAGCTTACGGTCACCAAACTGAAATTCAAATTTAAGCTCTGTATCATTATGTATTCCACTTCTTCGGAGTTCTTGCAGTATGCGATCGCAATAGAGGGGATCATACCACATAAAAACATTATCTGAATCCAATTTCACCATTGAATAGTGCCATCCTGTTCGGCCTTTCAAATCGAAGCGAATATACCTCCTGTCATATAACGTGCATCCACATGATGAGCGACATTGATCCCTTTTTCTTGAGGAGAGATGAGGTATAACAAAGCAGAAAATGAAACCCTTTAGGTTGTCAAAATCTGGAGTAAGCTGAACACTCACTTGTAAGTATCCATACTTTATCGTCGAACTTTTATCAGTAAACCACTCTGGAATAATACTTCCTTTGAAGTTGCCACATATTCCTTGCTTCAATGAGAAACTAGCATATTCTGGTATTCCATGAAATGAATTCTCATTGGCATCATGACAAGTCTCATTTTGGGAACCCAAGGTCACGTTTGGCTCCATTTCCATTTGCTGAATGAAGCAGTGGTATTCAGAGGCATATACTAGGCAGACTCCACATGCTTCGATCACAACATCAACAGAACTCTTTCGATACGTAACATAAGAGAATTTAAATGACAACTTTGGCCTGGAATTGGTGTTTTGATCGTCCATTGCTTTGTGGAATCTTATGAATATGTCAGGATCACACCATAGAAAAACATGATGTGAATCCAAAACATGATGTGAATCCAAATTATACCTCCTCATATCAAATGTTGAGCATCCGCGCTTCTTACCATCGTAATAAAATTTGCATTGCAAGTAACCAGGAGGGCGATGAGAAAGAATACAGCAGAAAATGAAGCCAACTAAATCGTTCGAGGTGGAAGGAGGCTCGATAGTTATATAGTTGGAAGCCTCTGTTTCCTGATTAAATTTAAACCACTTTGGAACATTTCTTCCGGGGTAACAAACACCACCTCTTTGCTTTGTGTACACTAATCGCTTCAATGAGAAATAAGCACTTTCCGTAACACGAGATAAGAAACTATTCTCCAATTTGAAGCAATCTTTTAGAAATAGGAAGGCCAACTGTGGTGCAAAAGGTATTGAAATGGGTACAATCTCAAGTGATACGCAATCACTAGCATGAACAGTTTCGATGAACGGTGGCAGTTCTGGCAGAGAACGAAGCCTTCTACAGTTGCTCAAGTGAAGACATTTTAATTTTGAAACATGCTTGATGCTGGGAGGCAAGCTCTCTACATTACTTCCTCTCAACGACAATGAAGATAACGAAGATAAGGAGTCACTGAATTCAGGGAATTCATAAAATTGTTCACAACCATGAAGATTAAGACTTCGAAGATTTCTGAGATAAGCAACTGATGAACAGACCGTTGAACCCAACATTATTTCATCTGCCGACAATGAAGACCCAATATGAGAAGTTAGTTGTAATGTCTTTAAAGATGCACAATTCCAAGCATGTAATTCTTCAACGGATGGAGGAAGTTCTGGCAAAGATTGAAGGTCCTTACAAGAGCTTACGTAAAGAGATCTTAGCATTGAGAGATGCTTGATATTGCTTGGAAGTTCAGTTAATTTGCAAGTCCGATACAAGACAATTGTTTCTAGATATAACAAAGCATCAAATAACGTGTGGAGCTTTGATTTGTCAATTATTCCTCCGCAATCTTGAAGACGAAGGTCTCGAAGAGATCTCATGCAACAAATCCCGTTAATCGGAAGATTCTTTAGTGTTGAGCCACTGAGAGAGAGCCTTCCGAGTTTCTCCATAGGCCCAAGTGAAAAGTCCAATATCTCAACGCTTGTCGCCTCTAAACCTATCATAGTAACTATCACTTCTGAAGAGAATGAAAACTCCTTGAGACCATAGCAACCATGGACAGATAGGCGTTCGAGAGATTTTGACTGTCTCTCCATTTTCAAACTCTTCATGTTTCTGCAGCTGCTAAGATCCACATCCCTCAATCTTGGGAGAGATAAAATAGATGGATCAAGGTGGCATAAACTTTCACACGACCTAAAAAAAATTCGTTCAAGATTTCGAGCGGCTGAGAAATCTGGTAACTCTTTCAATTGTTTGGATCCCACAAGGTTTATCATTCTTAAATTCACCAAGTTCTGCAACAATTAAAAAGAGAAATATATATTACATAAGAAACAAGAGTCTTAAATTTTAATTAAATTGTACAAAAAATTATAAAGCTCATATTTGTACGTTATACCTGCATGCTGTCCCATAGTTTTTTAAGGTGGCTGTTAGGCATGTGTAATTCAACTAGCTTCTCAGCACAAAATGACAATGGTAGAGACTTTAAAGGAAAATCGTCCCACTGAAGATACCTTAATGAGTTGGGAAATGACTCGAGCCCCGAAGGAAGATTCACAGTGCACGGTCTTTTATCCTCAGGTGAATAGAATTTCAAAAATCTTAAATTAGTCATCTTGCTAAAGGCATCAGCATTCAATTGTAAACCTCTAATTTGAGACAAATCTAAACTTATGCCTTGAATTGTATCAGTTCCCTGAACAACATAAAAAAAAAAAAAGTGAATAACTTAATATATATTAACATTGTCTTTTCAATAGTTGTCAAATATCAAGGTAAAAGATAGATATTATTTGTACCTGATTATTTTTTAGTACATCATAGATCTCTTTAGGATTCCGTAGTCGACTACGTCCTCCAGGATTTTCCATACACTCTTGACGGACAATTTCAAAAGCCATTGATTGAATCAAATCATGCATCTGTATCTTATAATCAATACTTACTAGCGCCTTATCCGCAAGGGTTCTCAAACCAATGCTTGCATGAAAGCCGCAGCTCTCCAGCATTTCTATTGCATATTTTTTAGATTTACCTTTCAAAAACCAAGCAATGTCTAAAAATATCTCTTTCTCTTCCTCATCAAGTCCATCATAGCTCAATTTCAGCACAGCTTGAATATCTCGATTACTAGTGCTTTCTACCTTGCTCAATGCACTTTCCCATTCCTCCATAGTTCTGGAATATAGAAATGAACCCAAAATGGTTAAGGCTAATGGAATGCCATGAGCATAAGCAACTGCTCTTTGGACTAGTTCTTTATATTCACTTTTATAACCATCTTTGCGGAAGGCTTTAAGGTTGAAAACCTCAAGTGAATTGTTGTAGCTCAATGCCTTGGCCTCATGTATTCTCTCAACTCTTCCATCAAGTACATGCTTATCTCTACTTGTTATGATGACTTTGCTACCAAGTCCTAAAAGAGGAGCTTCCCTTTCCAAATAATCTAACTGACTTGTGCTGCTCACATCATCTAGTACAATCAAAACTTTTCTATGACCGAGTCTTTTAAGAGATGTATCTTTTAATAGTTCATGGAAAAGTTTATCATGTACATATTTTAGCCCATGCTTTTCGGACTCTTCTCTTAAATTTTCCAAGAAGCAGCAACTGTCAAATTGAGAGTGGAATTTGGCAAACACAACCTTAGCCATGGTTGTTTTGCCTATCCCAGCCATACCCCAAATTCCAATCGTTGAGAATCCTTCTAGCAACATTTCAACATGACCCGAATTCTCCTTAATTCCAATAATATTTGCTAATTCACTTTTTGAGGACGCATGGTTTAGTTTTCTGATGATGTCATTGACAATATTTTGAATGAGTTCTGCTTCATCTCTGATGTAAGAAAAGAAATCATAGAAGAAAGTATTAATGCATCAAGTGAAAATTAATCAAGAGATAACTTGTTAAAGGAGGAATTCTTAGATACTCCCGGTGTACCACATCATATAAACACTGCCCAATAAAAATTCACCAACTCCATAAATGTCAGTCTACATGTCACCTGATGTGGCTATTTTTTAATTTAGGATAATTTATGAAAAAATTCTGCGACGCGTATTCTCTCTCCCATTTTTCAATGAACTTCTTTTAAATTTTTCTCTCTCATCTTTATTCTCACACGTCTCTCCCCCATTATTCAGTCGATTCTCCCGCCCTTCTCTCCCCTCTTCTCTTTCATTACCTTCTAGGTTGCGTTTTATGACAACCCCAAACTCTTCATCAGAAAAACACTGGATGCAAGGTTTGGCGCTTTGGGCAGTGATTTTGGTAAGAGCGATAAAATCGAATCTACAAATTTCTCTAAGCAATTGATCATAGAAACCAGAGGAGTGGGTCGCAAATGAGCAGTGAAAAAACGCTGTGCTTTTGAAAAGAGCAATGTAGCGAGTGATCCAGAAAGTAGGAACAAACACAAGATGATTTCATACAGTCATATATACCTCTCTTTCTTTTCAACTTCCGTGGATATCTAGTTCTTTTTGTTGGAATTTTAAGATTTTCTATTAGAAATTTTTAAAGCCTCTCTAGCGCAATTTTGCTGCTGCTTAGTGTGTTGAAAGATGGAAGATGAAGGAAACTAGCTCACATGCTCTTTGAAGGTCATGAGCATAACAGAAGGCAGAAACCATAAGCAACGACTAATAGAAATGCAGAACACGAAGACGCTAGAGGGTGGGTGGGAAAAAAATTAGCTTTTACTATATAATAGTGGGAAAGGAAGATGTGAAAAAGAAGTAAAATAGGTAAACCCTGATTTCTGGTTAAAATAGAACAAACAATGGCGGAAGGAAGAACAGAGAGATACAACAATGGGAGATGGAAGAATGAGGAGAGAAGAGATAGAACAAACCTAACGAAGAGTGACGAAAGAGAAGATAGAAAAAGGAGAGAGAGGAGAGTCAAATGAAAAATGGGCAAGTGACGGGTCATAATAATAAAGTGGAAAGAGAAAATTTTGACAGAAGTTTTCGGAAAATGGGAGAGAGAGTATGAGGGTGACAGAGTTTTTTTTTTGATAAAATAGTCTTAATTAAAAAATTGCCACATCAGGTGACATGTAGACTGACGTTCATGGAGTTGGTGCATTTTTATTGGGCAGTGTTTATATGATGTGGTGCACCGGGAGTATCTAAGAATTCCTCCTTGTTAAAGTGACAACTAATTGATGACTTTTTGGTGACATCATAAGATTATTATTTAATAAAATGACAAATTTCTCCAGAGTTTTATCAAAATTGTGCGGATATTTTCATCCATTTTCCAAATTATTAAGAAGGATTCATTCAAATGAAAAAAAAATGTATACATAATTTACTCTACCATATGAGTTATTCGTAATGATAATTAATTCAAAGAAAGGTTGAACAGTTAAAAAAAACAACTTTTAGAGCTAAAATACCCAATTTTGAGATGACACCATTTAAATAATGTTTTTTTTTCTTGTAAACCCAATAATTTAAAGAAATTAAGTATATATACCATATATAGACGAGTATTGCAATAAATATGATCCAACATCATTATTCACTATCAGTTAATTAGTTGTCAGATAAACTAATATGGAAAGAAAAAGCAATTTATATGAATATGAAGACCAATCACAGGAATAAGTAGAAGTATGAGACTCTGATTCAGATACTTGGAGTTAGAGAATGAAGAGTGACCTGTAGTTGCGAGAGTCCCATCCTGCTAAACTTGCAGTCTCAGAAAGTGCGTGTCTCCACTCCTTCAACTTCTCTGGGTTTTTCTCCAAATGTTGTGCGAATGCTTCCTCATAAGCTCCCCCTTGTTTGCGTACATGAGATGGGTCCACTTGGTAGAAAATAGGAATAACAAGCTGTGCCTGGTGCTCTTTACAGCAGAGGATCTGAACAAGCTCATTCAAACACCATCTTGAAGAGGCATAGTTTTGAGAGAAGACCACCACAGAGATGGATGAATCCTGAATTGCTTGGACGAGTGATTGGGAGATGTCATCGCCTTTTGGGAGCTCATAATCTATGTATGTCTCAATACCTTTGAGGCATAAGGCAGTATGGAGGTGGCTGGTGAAGGATCTGCGAGTGTCCTCTCCTCTGAAACTCAGAAAGACTTCATATTTCCTGGAGGACGATGAAGAAGAAGATGAAGCTGCAACACCCATGGGATTCTGATTAATCTCTCGGATTATCTCTCTGTCTTCTTTGCTGAAAAATGGCCACAGTGATGGACGATAGAGTATATGGCGACCAATGGACTTGACTCAGTCTTAAGTCTTCAGAGCCAAATGACACGGCAATTGTTACTTTCCCTCTTTTCACATTGGAATACATTTCCTTCCCATTCTTGGCCCCCACCTTTCTTTTACTTTTGGCCTTGGAAATCTGGATCTTCATCAACTCTCAACTGTGATCGTGATGAATGAAGTAGATGCATTTTATAGATAATAATTTGAGCAGAATCCAAATAAAAACATCACTACTTTAAAATTGTTAATGCTTTCATATAGACCCAAAAAAAGGGTCAGGATATGACATGTTCCCTCGCACAACCTAGTGGAAAATTTGCATCAAAATTCAATTGCTCATCTATTTCCAGGCGACTTTCGCCAACTGATGGCAGGTCACAGTGGTTATTCCATTTCATGTAAGAGTTACTTAATTTGTTTAGACTAAGAAGGTCAAATAAATTACTACCTCATGTCTTTATTATAAGAGTTAGTTTGACACTCAAATTGATTCTAAATATAAGACCCCATCTTATCTATTTTTTTAAAAATAATCATTGCTGTACATGTTAAAGGTTTCATCACATAATAGTTCTGGCTAATACACATGATTAGCAAATGTATTTTAGGAAAGACGATACTCATTTATTATAAATAATTAACTTAATTAATTTTCATAATATACTCAAATTAATCAATTAACTTTTATATTAGAGGCCAAATGTGATAATTAATTATAACAAAGGTGACATGATTTTCTTAAAATGCCTCTACATAGTGCTAGACCTAAATTATATATCAATTTCTAAGTCAAGTAAATTGGTTTGAGGAAAGAAAATGATAAATACATAGACAAAGCGGATTAAAATTTTATATTTAAAGTTAAATTCTAATTCTAACTAGTTTTTATAATAGGGATTGAGAAGCAAATGTTATTGTTGATGACATCAATTGTGTTTAAAAGTGTGTTAAATGATAGGTCCTAATATTTGTTATTTTTGGGATCAAATTAATATCTACAAGCTTTGGTGCTAAATATAGGAGTTAGACAAGGAGTTCATTTTAATCTTAAATATAAGATGTTAATTCATTTTGTCTCCTAAATTTATAATTTTTTTCCTACCCAAATTATCTTTATTGTTTGCACATAAAGGAGCTCTTAATCAAGAGGTAATTTAACAAATTAGCTATCTACATCTTATATTATATTAAGAGTGGGCTACAGCATTATTTATAATTCAAGTCTATCGGTAGAATTGCATGCATTGGCCTCCATATTGATCTGGTCCATGTCCTCACCGGAAAAGTGGTGCATAGACGGAAGAATAAATGATCCTTGAAAGTTCCACTTAGTTTGGGTGTGGAAAAAAAAAATAAGAAAGAAAAGAATATTAAAAGAGAAAATCTCAAAAAATAATAAATCTTTTTACTATTCCAAAAAATTTTCCTTGATAATATTTTCTGCCATTAGATCAGGCGATACATACACTATATAAGGGTATACGAACTTGTAGGAAGCTGGAAACACCTTGGAACCATTTTGGGTTTCTCTAAATAGAAAATTAAAGTGTTTTTCTAATCATCACCAATCATGAAACAAAACACAGTTTTGTTAGGGGAAAAGGTCTTAATTCGCATGTATTAAATATACATAAATGCTTTGTATTGCAAGTTTGAAAACTCCGTTTTTAATTCTTAAAGTATATTCTGATGCTATATGTACTGTAACAAATTGGAATATGTAAGCGACCATTTTGCCAAACTAAAATGCACAAGGTTTGAGAACCGATACACAGACTAATAATGAAATAGCCCCACCAATACTAACTGTTCATCTACATAAATATAATTACCGCAATTACCATAATGTGACAAACTGGCCTGTGCAAGTTATGGCACGACTTGTTCATGCTCTGTTTTCAAGTCTTTACTCTGTTCTCATCGACAAACGTCAATATGCAAATCAGGATTAGTTCAATGATGTTCAACAACTCTTATGTAAAACTCAACTTGAAGGAACGATCGCTCATGCTCTTTTTTTCTTTACTCTGTTTTTATCTACAAACACTAACATGCTTATTCGTTAAAAGCCATTTGTTTTATTCACCTGCCAAAATTTTTGTTGATGTGTTGTTTACAAGATTATCATTTCCCTGGAATGGAATTACTGAACTGATTAAAAAAGTCAAAATTGAACCATGAGGGCAATAATTATTACAAAAAAAGGCATCAAATAGTCATTTTTTTGCCTGGAACCTATACAGTTGAATATCGTTAGCATGTAATCATTGTCAACGTGTATCATGGTGAAGTATGAATAAATGCTCTTAATTTGCTAATTTAAGGAGGAGATAATACCTATTCAATCGTTATGGCCTTGCGTTTTCGGAAAGTCAAGTTGAAATCCGCCGATTTCCCTTGGTGATCGACATCGGAATATTCTGAGGCGTAAATGGGGTAGACTCCACACGCTTCGATGAGAATATCATCACTAGCAATTCCTAGGCCGAATTTGAACAAAAGATTTGGGTCATAAGTTGTGGTTTCATGATTTCTTCTGTTCCCTTCAATTTTCTCGAGCATCAATTCTGATAGTTTCGGATTTGAACGTAGGAGAACATTTCCAGGACTGAATTCTATAAAAAATGGAAATCCAACTTGGGTAGTCATTTCATCCAATTTAACACCGAAGGAAATTTGAGGGGGAATACAACGTTCCTCTGAGAAGGAGTCAGGAACGACAGCGCAAAAAACGAAACCCACTAAATTGTGAGAAGCTAGAGAAAGTTGGACGATGGACGAATCATTTTGGTTCCGAATATTCCCAAACCACTTCGGAACCTTCTTTCCTGGGTAATAAACTGTAACATCTTCCTTCTCATGAACTGCTTTCTCTAACAACAACTTGGCTTGTTCTTCAATGGCACCCAGATCTAAGTTCACACAATTGATGAATGAGAAAATTTTTTCACCATAATTCTCAGATGTGCTTGAAATCGTTGAAGCAGACACCGTCTCCAGCGATACGCAGTTTGTGGCAATCAACTTTCTAAGGGATGGAGGAAGTGGCGGCAAAGCCTGAAGCCTCGTGCAGCGTTCTGCAGAGAGATATTGTAGCTCAGAAAGATGCCGGATATTGTCGGGGAGTTCAGTTAGGTTGGGCCACTCCTGCAAAAACAGCACTTCTAGGCTTTGTTTGGGGGAGGGGAGATTTCTTGTTTGATTCATAAGGGGAGGAGAGGAGAGGTAATTATAAATTCACAAATATACCTTATCTCTATATTTAGATTAATTTATTTTTTTAATACACACACGATATAATATATAATTATAATACACACATGTTATGATATGTATATATTAATACATATGATATGTATATATTATATAATTATATTATTATCATCAAATATTATTAGTGGTTAAAAAGAGAAAGAAGTGAAAAAAGATTTTTAATAAGATGGACAAACTTGAATTAGTATGAATAGTTTGGTCAATATTAGACATAATATTTCTCTCCCCTCCAAAAAAACCCCAAATTTGAAGGGGAGCATGGGGAGGGGAGGGGAGCACTAAAAGACAAATTTCTTCTCTCCCCTCCCCTCTATTTTTCTCAACCAAACACACTGATCCCCTCCCCTCAACAACCCTCCAACCAAACAAAGCCCTGGCAGTGAACTGCCAACTCGACTTCTTCCACTCTCTGCCTGAAATTTTGAATACGAAGCTGCACAAGTTTGAAACGACAAAGCAGGGTCCATGGAAGATGCCAAAGACTTGAAGTATTGAGCAGCAGACGATTGACGATGCTAAGGTGATGAACTAAGGTCGAATGAGAGTGCTGTGCAATCAGTGGCATCTAATAATTTAAGGGAGGGAGGAAGCTCTGGCAAATATTGAAGATTCCCACAACAAGTTAAATAAAGCTCTTGCAGACTAGAGAGTTGCCTGATGTTATATGGGAGTTCAGTTAAGTTGCAGCACATCACAAGAGTCAGTGATTGGAGACTATGTAAGCGATCAAACATCACACGCAGGCCGACATGGTCAATCTTCTTGTGGGAGACACGGAATTTCTCCACAGATGTTAAGCAACTTAATGCCTCTATTGGAAGATTCTTCAATTTCGTATGCAAGAGATCGAGTGTTCTAAGCTTTGAACAACGCACGATTGATGGGCTCAATTCTTCTATCTTTGTTCCAAATAAATCCAAAGACATTAGTTCTTCTGATGACACGGAGAATTCCTTAAGACGGCAATCAGTTACATTGACTGCTTTGAGAGATTTTAGATGAATCCTACTTTGGAGACTCTCAAGGCTATAGCAGAAGCTTACATCCAAAGAAATGAGACTGTGCAGGGATAGGAGAGATGCATGCACATAACACAAACGGGCGCGAGCACTCAGATCTGCGCTTTCAAGATTATGAGCCTTGGAAAAATCTGGTAACTCCCTCAACCTAACGCAGGTTTTAAGATTTAATCTTCTTAAATTCGCTAAGTCCTGGAAACCATTAGAAAATATAGAAAAGGAAAAAAAATAAAGGCATTTTATCGGAAATTAAAGATCTCTCAAACATTACTATTTAAAACTAAAGATGACATATAATACCTGCACCCCTTCCAAAGTGTTTCAATCAGGCTGTATTCCGTGTTGAGTTCAAGAAGAAGCTCAGCACAAAAATTTGATGGCAAGGACTTCCTCGGGTATCCTACCCGGTGGAAGGGATTGGTTTCTCTCCACTTCCTTCCAGTTTGCTTCCCATTCACTACCTTCGACGACGTCGTTTCACACTAACAATCTTAACCGTCCATTTCCTCACTCCATCTCAGTCGTTCAGTGGGTTCATCAGCTTCTGTTTCTCTTCCTTGACGACGGTTTATTCAGCTATTCTTACCTTCAGACGCAAACACAACGAAAGCGAGAGAGGAGAGA